CGCAATGAAATTCCGGAGTTTCTCTTTGTCTGGGAAGGTCCATATTCTTTCTTCATGGAGGAAAGAGAGCTTTGCGGGATAGAGTATTCTTGGTTGGCATCTGTTTTCTTGGAGTCTGTTGACTATGTCCCTCCACTCTCTCCTTGCCCGTAGTGTTTCTTCAGAGAAGTCTGATGTCAGCCTGATTGGTTTTCCTTTGAATGTTATCTGTTTCTTCCCTCTTGTCAGCTTCATTATTTTTTCCTTGTCCTGGATTCTTGGGAGCTTTACTATTATGTGTCTTGCTGTGTTTTTCCTTTCGTCGTGGAAGTTTGGTGTTCTTCTTGCTTCTTGTATATCAATTTTCAGCTCCTTCTTCTCATTTGGGAAGTTCTCTTCAATTATATCCATGAATATTTTCTCTGTTCCTACATCTCTCTCCTCTCCTTCTGGAATTCCTATAACTCTTATATTTCCTTTCCTCATGGAGTCAGATAGTTCCCGAAGTCTTTCTTCATTCTTTTTCCTTCGTACTTCTCTTTCCTTTTCTATTTTGGTTCTTTTTATTTCTGTGTCTTCAAGATTACTTATTCGTTCTTCCATTTCATCCATTCTGCTTTCATTGCTTTTCCCAGAGTTCTTTAGTTCCTCCATTAATTCTTTGATCTCCTGCATTTCTCTTACTTCCCTCTTTAGGGACTCAATTTCCTTCTTCTGATCTATCACTTTTTTAATCATGGCAATTTTAAATTCTCTTTCTGGAAGGCTCAGAAGTTCTTCCAAGTTGCTGTCGTTGCAATCTGGGGAGTGGTTTTCTTTTTGTGGTGTGCTTCTTTCCTGAGGAGTTTTTAGGTTGCGTGTGGTTCTTCTACTCCCTACTGTCTGTTTTCTAATTTGTCGTATGCGTTGGGACACTGTGTTGCTCGGACTGACTGACATCTTGGGTGAACTTCTCCGCTCCCCTCTGGCTCTTCCAGGAGCCATCTCTGTCTTCTGGGGGAGCTTTCTGCTGGTTTTAGGCAGTTTTTACTGAAGAAATGTCCCTGTTCTCAAATGGCGAAGCGGGATGCAGTCCCTGCGCCTCCGGTTTCAGGCACACTCTTCTGCGCCCCCGGTCTGCCCCGGACGTGGGTGCCTGCTCCCTCTGTGGGCTCAGACTGCTGGTCGGAAGGGGCCTGGCGTGGAATAACTTCCCGGCTGGCCACTGGGTCCTCCAGAAACCTTCTGCCCTTTTCAAGCAGTCTTAAGAAATGTCCTGTTTTATAGGGTGTTAGTGACTTTTTTTTTCCTGGTCGCTAGGTGGCGCCAGAGATCTCTCCTATTGTCCTTGGGGGGCTGTTTTTCGCCTCCCCCCACCCCGTGGGACAGAGAACAGAGCGGGAATGGTAGGGTACACCTCAACAGCTTTGGGGTGCTGTGTCTGCCTTGTGCCCCACCGTCGTGGAGAACCCACGCCCCGAATTTTCGTGCCCCGGGTCTCAGTTCAAAGCCCTCAGTTCCAGGACACGGGCTGTAGCCCAGTTCAGTGGCGCGGGAATGGCGCCTTTTGCACAGCTCCCGTGCCTGGGCGCCTGGTTCCTGCTCACTCAGGGAGGGACCTTCACCTCAGTGAGGACCTCCGCGCGTCTCCCCGCAAGCCTAGGTCGCAGGCGCGGGGACCTGGGCAGCCGCGATCCAGGTCTGCACTTGCTTTTCAAGCTCCCCGAGCGCGCCGCGTTTCCGCGCCAGCTTACCGGCAGCCCGGGCTGTGTGCGCGTCTCCCGGGGTCTTTGTTCTTCTCTAATGGCGCCAGGAGCCGTTCACTCACCGCTGCGGCGGATCCTGCAGGGTTCGCCTCAGCTCCCGTTCACGGGGTGTGGTGGCTGCAATAGTTCCTTTCCACTCCCAGTCCTGCTTGCTGCGTCCGTTTTTCTTGTTGGCCGTTTTGGTTTGTTGTTTCCTCCTCTCTGCTGGTCGGAGAGTGCCGCCTCTGTGGGCGGGGGAGGGGAGCAGGGTTCTGCGCTTCCCTCCCTTCTAGTCCTCTTTTATGGCCACTTTCTTCTTTGGGCAGTTCGCTGGCGTCACCCGTTTATCTTCCGTGTCCCACTTCTCACTGGGACCTGCCGCTTTTCCTCCCTATTCACTTTTTTTAATGGGAGATCTTACTCGCAGCGTCTCCTCGCCGCCATGTTGCTCCGCCCCCTCAGAGTAAATCTTGATTAAGGGAAATTTCCAGTCAATCACCAGAAAATAGGAAATAAAAACAAAATAATATTGAGGATTGCTTGAATTTGCAGGTAATTTTTAGTTATGGTTAAAGGTAGCAGTTCTCCAGTGGGGAGGGGCATTTAAATATTCTGATGTGATTTCCACTCTAGACGAACTAATTTGATTAATCTGTGTATGGCTTGGAGATCAGGATCAGGTACAGAACATGAGGATCTTTAAACACAGGTTAAATTTCTTCCTCATACACATGTGTTTACATTCACAGACACACACACATACATAGTATATGTGAAAATATATATTTATACCACTTTCTTCATTATATTTATTATATATGTACAATGTCTCTGATTAAAGGCTGAGTATCTTTATTAATGTTTTCTTATGATGATGGACATTGGATGCTGTGGTGATGGGTATGGTATAGTAACAACTGATAGGAGAGATCCTAGACCTCCCACACAAAAAGTGTTTTTAACCATTGTTAATAAAAAATGAATTATTGTTAAAATTGCAGGTTTACTATGCTGAATTTATCAAAGTTTATATTATGTACATTTTTTATATATGATTAAAATTCTTAAAATTTAGGAAGTACTAATACTTAAAATAATACAATTATAATTCCTAAAATATTTCAGTAAGCACATACTTCTCAAGCAAATAATGATAATATAAACAGAAAAACTTTTATCCTAGAAATAGATGTCATTTTATTTTTTTTATATTTATTTATTTATACAAGCACTGGAGTACAGGCCAGAGCCATGGGAGGGTGAGAGAATTCACCAGAGACAGAGTGGGGAGCAGAACAGGAAGAAGAACCAAAATACACTGCTGAGGGGAGCAGTGGGCAAAACAGGAGTGGTCTCCCGCATCATGTGGATATCTCCCTGGCTGGCTGGGAATTGAACCGGTGCTGCAGAGACTGCGGACAGCTTCACAGCTCTGCACTCAACCGGCTGCACCACCAGGAAGGCACATAGATGTCATTTTAATAAAAATGTTATCCTTTGATTTTTTTTGATTGTATTATTTTTTATCGAGAAGTTGATTTATAAAACTGTTTATGGTTTAGGGATACCAATCCTTACCTCTTCCTATGTATTACCAAACCATGCCCTCCACCAAGGTACACATAATCCTTCAACATAGTTCATCAGTTTGACCACGTTTGTTCCCCAGTCCCTCTCTCCCTCTTATAGTCTCATTTTTGCAGTCAGATTTCTAGAGTTTAAGTTTAGTTTAATCTGTTAGCTTGTTTTGTTTCTTGATATTTCACCTGTGAAAACATCCAGTATTTGTTCTCCTTCTGACATTTTGCTTAGCAAAATTCCCTCAATCTCCATCCAAATACAAGATTTCATCTTTCTTTTTTATAGCTGAGAAGTATTCCATTTTGTATTTGTGCTACATCAGCTTAATCCACTCATCTCTCATCGAGTACTTATGTTGTTTTCATAATTTGGCTAATACAAGTGGTTCTGCAATCTAATTGGAGTGCATACATCTTTTCAAATTAGGTATGTATATTTCAGGAAGATAGGAGAATAATTACTGTATTAAATGGTGGATATCTTTAATTTTTGAGAAACATCTATACTGTTTTCCAAGGGGACTAGTCTACATTCCACCAACAATATACAAGCATTCCTTTTTCTTCACACCCTCATCAATACTTGTGGTTTATGGTCTTTTTGATATAGGCCTTTTCAAGGACATGAGGTAGTATCGCATTGTGGTTTTGATTTGTATTTCACTGATGACAAGTAATGGTAAGCATGTTTTCATCTGTATGTCTTCTTTAGAGAAGTGTCTATTTAACCGGTATGCTCAATTTTTGGCTTCTGTTATTAGTTTCCTTGTTTCTGAGTTATACAAGTTCTTTGCAGATTTTAGACATTAGGCTCTTTGAAGATGTAAATCAAAAGAGTCTTCTAAAAAACTATTAGAAGCAAGTAATCAGTAGGGTAAAGTGGCAGACTACAAAATCAGTTATAGAAGTCTGTTGTATTCCTAGATTGAAGGAGAAGGGGGAAAGATTGAAGGAGAAGGGGGAAAAAATCAAAACAATCTCATTTACAGTCACATCAAAAAGTATTGAGGATCTCAGAAAGACGTATATAATAAAAAAAAAGACATTGTTTGATGCAGTGGGAGAAGATACAGGATATAGAAAGATATTTGATGCTCATGATTAGAAAAATTAACATTATTAAAATGTTAACCATCCTCAAGCAATGTGTAGATACATTGCCATCCCTATCAAAGTTTCAATGCCTTGAGAAAGAGAAAAATAGAGAATATATTACTAAAACTTATATGGACCCTCAAAAGATGCAGAATAGCCAAAATAATTCTGATTTTTTAAAAGATGGAAGTATCACATTCTTAGACATAAAACTATATTACAAAACTATTGTCATCAAAACAGAATGATAATGGAATAAAAACAGTGACATAGATGAATTGGATAGAATTAAGAGCCCCAAAATAAAACCACACTTATATGGATAGTTAATTTATGACATAGAAGCCCAGAGCATACAGTGGACAATGGAGAGTGTATTCAACAAATGGTATTGGGAAAACTGGACTTTTATCACTTCCAAAGGAATGGACCTAGCCACTATCACACTAGGCATAAAGGTAATTAAAAATGTTCTCAAAAACTTAAATATAAGACCTGAAACTATAATATATAAAAGAAAAGATATATTAAAAACACTCCAAAATATCTGTTGATCTTTTCACCTAATTGTGGTTTACTTATAAGTTATATAAGTCCTGGGTAAATTTCATTTTTTTTTCCTCAGGGCAGAGCATACACGCAGACACCCCCCTACCACAAATTACGCAGTGAAGTTTCCTGCATTCGGGGAAACCGCAGGGGTCAGCACGCCCAGAGTACAGTGCATGGCCCTGGGAAAATCACCTTCGTGAACGTGGTGTCTCCCCTGCCAGGTAAGTTTTAAATTTCACTTTCAAGAGAATTATCTATCTGTCTATCTATCTATCTATCTATCTATCTATCTATCTATCTATCTATCTATCTATCTGTCTGTCTGTCTGTCTGTCTGTCTGTCTGTCTGTCTGTCTATGTATCTATCTATCTATCTATCTATCTATCTATCTATCTATCTATCTATCTATCTATCCATAGATGATAATAATGGACTTTTAAACTATGTTTCATTAAAGTTTATGTTAGACAGGTATAGATGATTTTATTTGAATTAAAATATATGTGTCTATATATAAATGCATGATAATTAAATAGAAAGTTATTTTCTCTTTGAAAATATACTTGAACTTTTTACAAACTTAATTCAAATAATAATATCATCATATCATCATATTTTATAAAGCTGCAATTTTATAAAGTTGCAATTATTCTCTTTCCAAAGATTTTACACCTATTTTCCTATTTTGAAAATGCTTATTATTCATACTTTCACCAATGAAGGGTGGTCAATAAATGCAAAACAATGTATTAAAAAGTATAAATATATCCTAATCTCCTTCTATCCCTTTTGATTTTCACTGCAAGATTTGATAAGCATTTCCTTATTGTTTTTGTCTATTATAGAAAACATCAATTATTTTGTTTTTTGATACCAGATATTAGTATTAACATGATGACTGAGTAAAGTTTGAAATTTATAAGTCAAGCACAGAAGTCAAGCACAGCTCCTAGAATTAAACTCTGTTGCTCAGATACAGTAGAATAGAATAGTTTTGATATACTATTTCCATGGTAATACATTTTGGAATTCTGATGGTGTTTTCTTCATAGAAAGACCTTGTGGTCACTAAGCAGCAGAAATTGTAGTTGACAAACTATATTTTATAACAAGACAGAGGGGCCTTTCTTCTGATTAACTGGGTGACCTTGGACAAATATTTCTGGCACCAATCTACAATACCCTCTTCAATAATTTGAGATGCAAAATATCCACCATCAAACACCACAAATGGACTTTATGAGAATGCACACATTCACATTTGGGGGGACACATGTCCAGTGTTCCTCTGGATCCTAATGAAAGACAGAAGTCCTCCAATTCTGCCAGAGAACAAGTGACAGATAACATAGAGCTGTGCTATTTCCTAGAGAACTCTTGTTCAATTCTGTCCTGACTCCAAAGAAAGAAGAGCTAGCCACATCCTCTACTTAGGTATAATTACACATTATATAACATTGGTACAGTGTATTTACAAAATGCACACATAACAAAATACTATTTCGTAATAACCTAACAACACATATCTAAAGAGGAAATATATATTTATATGCTGTAGTATTATGTGTTATATAAATCTATTTCTTATATAGTGTAATTATCATAGTAATACTGCAGTTTATCTTTTAATCAGAATATATGTCTTGGTAATTTGGAATAACACATCATCACTGAAGAATAAATTGACCAGAATACAGTGATATTTTACTAAATTCACCTTGGTAATCTTATAAAACTTTCATGTAAAATTAATATGGGTTTTTTTCTATTAGTTTAGCTTTGGAAAATGGCAATATACTTATTATTTGTTAAAAAGGAAAACTGTAGAAAATATTCTGAATACATCCTATAAAGTAATATCCTAACATAATTTTCATGCACATACTTTGTCTAGTTACAATAGGAATTTTATAAATGAGGGTAGGGTTGCATATCTGTTCCATTCATTAATTCTTTTTTCTCACATATTGAGAGTCTAAAATTATCTTAACCTATAAGAGAAAGGGCTGCATAATGGTTAGAAAAAATCCAGGTTACTAGGTTTGAGGGGATTGAGCATATTTAAGAAATTCTAGTAACTGAAGTAACATGTTGATATAGCAAAAAAAGAAAAAAAAAGGGAAGATGGGATATCAACAGCCTGTTACATTTTAGGGGAATGAAATTGGGGAGTACTTTAAATCCATATTAATGATAATGATAGGATAAACATAGATTTAAAATTGCAGAGGCCTGAACTTTTTCTCACTGGTTTCAACTTAAGCAGTTGGTGTTCATTTGCTCTTTTTTTTTTTTTTTTAAGATTCATTTATTTATGCATACAAGAACTGGGGTATAGGACAAAGGTGTGGGGGTGAGAGTATTCATCAGAGACAGAGTGGGGAACAGAACAGGAGGACTGACTGAAATACACTGCTGAGGGGAGCAGTGGGAGAGTCAGGAGAGGTCTGCAGTGCCATGTGAGTAGCTCCCTTGCCAGGGATGGAACTAGTGCTGCAGTGGCTGTGGATAGCTTCATAGGTTGTGTCTTAACCCCTTGCACCATCAGGGAGGCCCTCATTTGCTCTTATTTGGAAATAAAAGTTTGTGATAAGAAGCAAGCAAAATGAAAAAAAGCTAATAAAAGAGAAAGATAACTGATGAATTTTCTAACTACCTTCAGTAGGTAGTTGGAAAACACACGTAAGAGTATATTTGTTGTAAGCACCTACCCACAAGTGGGCAAGTTGTGAAGTTAAGGTGACTTTTGTTGTTGTTGTTTTATGAATGAGTTTAACAAACAACCATATAGAAAATACATTTCTTGGGAGTAAATGGAACTTGTATCTAAGATCTAGAGTTGACTGGTTTTATATTTGGAGACTTACTATCATAGAGAAGAAAATGCTTGGTCATTCTGCAAAAGTAAACTATCGATGAATCAAATCTATTTATATAATTTTTAAAAAAGGAATATTTTCCTGGGTAGGCATTGTAGTGGATTTATCCTGCACATTTGGAATTTGGACTAGAAATAGAAAACAAAAACTAAGTAATTTAAATTACTGTAAGTTTTTTTTTTTAATAACACAGGATTGATAATAGTCTTCTGTTCTTAGCCCAGCTCCAGTTCTCAACTTGGGGAAGTTAAAAATTTAACTTCTTGGGAGGATCTTAAGAAGAGACAGCCAGTGCAGGTAGGGAAATAACAGGAAACCTGATCTCAGGAACATATGGGAGAAGTGGGGATGTTGCCGCAATGTTCTCCCACCCAGATCTCTCCTGAGTGGGCCTAAAAATATAGGTTCATTCATTGGAAGACTAATGGAATCACTGGAACTGTTCTATAAGCTCCAATAAACCACATGAACAAACATCTTCTCTATTAATATTTAAATTGAATCTGACCAGCACCACTAGGTGGCACCATACTGTAGTTGGGTCTTGAATGGATTTGAAACTCATTACACTCAAAGATGCTCTCAACTTGAACAGGATCAGCCTAATAATTACATAATTAGACCTCCATTATGCAAGGTCCATTTTAAATAACTGGATTTTAGGATTCTACTTTTCATGCAGATTTGCTATACTTGCCAAAAAGAACAGTCTAAAATTCCATGAGTTTCACTGTTTCCCTAGTCCATATCATTTAGAAACCAAAGTGATTTAGCTACTACGGGGAACCTACCTAGGATACCAGCATGCCCTAGAAGTCACCTGAGGATTTACCCATCCAGAAAAAAATGAATTAAATTATTTTGACCAATAACACTTCCACAGTAAAAAAGTTAAAACAAAAAAAAAACTACCCCCATATTTGTTTACATATCAAAGAGATAATATAATCAAAACACAGGAGAAAATGAGAACTTAGCAGACATTTGTTGACCTTTAAGAAACAGCAGGGAGGAGTTGCTTTCAATATGGAAAGCTATTTTTCTAACAGAATCAACCTCTCACAGATAACTAGTAATATTTGGGCAAAATATGGAGTTCTAGTAAGTACAAAAAGAAAGGTTGATTTTGAAGAGGACCCAAAACCTAAAGGAAATTACTGGTCTGGGTGAGTTCCTTGTTTTAGGACTTTAGACTGAGTGAAGACAGCTGAGGTGGTTTACATACCTCTAGTAGAGTCTTTGTTTTTCTGGTTGGAAAACAGGGGATAATACAAACTCATTCACCTTTTTTTTTTTTTAAATATATTGTTATATGCGGTTTATTTAAGGAAACTGCAAGTTTACTTTTGTACATCAGAGAAGTAACTAGAAGCATTTTTTTTCTTTTAATAGCTCCAAACAGGAACAACATAATTTTCAATCACTAGTAGAATGGAAAAATAAAATATGGCATGCTAGACAATGGAGTAGTATACAGCAGTGCTACTTAAAATGTGGCCCACTAACTGATACAAGTACAATAAATGTTTGACATTGAGGTAATAAGAACTTCCTCACTATGAAGAGAGAAGACACTTATACCAGAATAAAAAAAAAAATGCATAAATAACTACTTCACAAGCATGCTAGGCTTTGTTTGTTTGTTTTAGTAGGATTTTCTCAGTGGAGTTGCAGCACACTGATTTACATTCTTGTGTGTTCATTTACATTCATACAGACTAATCACTTAAGAAACAATTATTTTGAGTAATATGGATATACAGCAAGGAAAATGAACAAGCTACATCTATATACTATAACATAATCTTGAAAACATATGTTTAACAAAAAAAAAAAACAAAACACCAGAAATTCACACAATATGTTTCCATGTACCTAAATATAAATTAGGAAAAGTAATCTATATTAACAAGCATGTTGAAACAATAAAGAAAATGAGAAAATGATTATCATAAAATCAGGATGTTGGTTCTCGATAAGGGTGTGTATTATATGTTATCACAAAAGAACTAAAAGGGGATTTTAGGAGTGCTGAAGTTTTCTCTTTATTTGATTTTATTGTTGGCTATAAGGATGTATATATCATAATTGTTTTTAGTACTCTAAATGCAGGCTTTATGAAACTTTGTGAGTGCTATATCTCATATAGAAAAATTAAGAAGGAATCTGCATTAAGGGCTAAACAGGAAACATGTTTCAAACAAAAGAAAACAGTTACAAAAGGGATACCTTAAATAGAAATGAAGAGGTTTATTCTTTATCAAAAGAAAATTGTACCTATCTCAATTGAATAAAGCAATGATTTTTTAAAAAATGTAGATGACTGTACCCAGTGCTTGTATAAACAAAACAAACAAATAAATAAATAAATAAAAAAGACTGTCACTTTAAAAAAAAAAAAATGTAGATGAGCACATTAGGCTAGGTTGAAGAATCTAAATGAAAGGGAATTCAAAATTATTGCAGATTGTACTAAATCTACTGAAAGTAATGAGGTGGTTATGGAATAAAAGTAAGGCAATCGAAGAAAGTTCCATGAAAGAATGAGAACAGTCCTGTGCTAGCCAGTCTTTAGGCATCACTGGACAAAAGTTTGGCTTTGTAACTACAAGTGATATAAGAAAAAGAATAAAGAAAGTGAGAGAGGGAGGAAATAAAATAATAATGAAGGACTCCCAGAAATTGAAGAACAGGAAGAAAACAGCAAAGTTACCTATAAAGAAGCATAATCTAAAGTCATAGAGAAGAAAAAAAAAATGCAACAGTGTATGAGAATCTAATAGGTAGAGCAAGGGAATAAAAATGATGGATGCCTACCTATAAATACCAGAAAAAATAAAAGTTGTTTTGTCCAGATCATCATTGGTTCTGAATGAGATTGGGGCTTCCCACTTGTGCCTCCTAATGGGTTGGGTGTTATCTGAATACAAGTGTTTGACTCCATATTTGTATCATATAATAGTGAGATGGGGCCAGAATGACTATTATAGACACATTTCTCAAAAAGTAAAAAAATGGAAAGCAAGTAGCAGCGATCTAGAGCAATTTTAAAATCCATTTGAGAATCTGGTGATGAACTGTTAGCAATCCTCAGTAAGCAGAAAAGAGTTATATTCATTGTGAACAGAAGGCCAAACTGATGTTGTGTCTGTTTGAAATTCCACCACTATGCCTCTGAAAGCAACGATCTATGAGACATACCAGGCCAAAGTTCGCTACTAACCTACACAAGGACAAAAGTGTAGATAGAAATTAGAACAATATTTAGAAGCTCTTATAGTGACTTGATCCCCCCAAGTAAATAACCAATGGTCCTGTTAAACACAGAGTAAAGGTGTGTGGGTGTTGCCAATGTTATGTGCCTAGATGCACGTGCTTGTGGACACAGTTGAAACATGACATAACACGATATTGTAAGTGCAGGTACACATATAACTATTAACTATTAGAGCCAATTTATTATGAATTTTAATTTATACAATTACTTAAAATGTTTATCAAGCCCTTTTTAAATTTATAGTTTAATATTATTAGCTGCATTAAGAAAGTAAACACTATATTAATTCATATTTAACTCCAATTCGTTTGTAGTGAAGCAAGCTTTGATTCTGTGGACACAGTAGCAGGAATTAACTAAATGATGACAATAGAAATGCTTTTCAAGGAATGGAGATCAAATGAGTTTGCACAAGTTTTACTCAAAATTATTACCTCTCACATATTTATCATAATTGATGGTAAACTGCTGAAATAACATTGTATTATTTGTGGAAATGTAACAGTTAATGAGGCGATTAAACTTTCAAAACTTAAATAGCATTAACATAAAAAACATAAGGAATTAAGTTCAAAAGCAAAGAACTATATGAAAGACAGATTATTAAATTAAAAAGTCAACAGAAGCAGATGTTCAATATTATATATATATAAACACGAGCACATTGCAGACATCTTATAAAGTAGCACTTTGGATTGCTAAAACTGTGGAAACATAAACAATTGCAAAGGCACTAGTGAAATACTGCATCAAATGTTTGCTTGCAAATAATCAGTGACTGCTTCTAAGAAGGTAACTTAGTTACCATTTTTCAATGACAGATCATATCTGAACATGTTCCGATACTAAGGTTTAGTTAGAAGAACAAATGCTGCTGTAAATTATTTTTCATTACACCCCGATGAACATATATTGTTTCAAATGGCATTTCTTTACATTATGGAGAACTTAAATTTGACAATTCTATGAAACTATGACTTCTTGCATTGCAGACAAATGAAGTTTGGAGGTTAAATTTTGAATACAATAATATTCTAATAATATAGCCACAATGGACGAAAACATTCTGAAATAGTATTTAATTCCTCATTAAAGAACTTGTACCAGAATGTACAGTCATTAAAAATGTTATATTAAAAAAAGCCATTGCACTAAACAATGTGCTTAGTGATGTAGAAAAATTATATATTATGTAAAGGTTAATGGGTTAAATATGATAATATTCTTCACTAAGCAATAAAATAGTTATTACACATAACTGTTATTACAGGCCGAATTACTAAATTTATTGAAGTTGAGACTATCAAGAATGTTAGGAAGGAGTTGTATCAAAACAGGGGAGGGGAGATCACAAGGGACTATGGTGACGATACATGGGAGAGTTGGTGGTGGGAATTTCATGGGGACTATACCTGAGATGATAAAGCACACATTGTATAACAATGAAGAATGATGTCAAAAATATATAAAATAAAATTTTTTTTAAAAAGGAAGAGGTTGTGATGTGTTTTTTGTTTTGTTTTGTTTTTTTGTGGGACCCTTGCTGGTGGCTGGGGATTGAACTGACACTGCAGAGGCTGCGGGCAGCCTAGCAACCCAGCGCTCAACCGCTGTGCTACCAGGGGAGGCCCAAGATTGTGATGTTTTTGTCAGGTAAGATACCACCAGTTTGATAGCAACTGTGAACAAGGTGTGAGCAAAACATCATATCTGTTTCTTTGCCTGATATTTTTATTTTTAGTAATCCTATTGCTAATCTAAGAATACAATGCAACATATCTTTTCAATGGTTAAAAAAAGTCAAAGTACAAAAACAAAAGTGAGAAGTTTGAGGCTTTCTACGGATTGAAATGACATGTTCCAAAATTTATCTGCTTTTGAAGCAGTAGTTGATGATTCTGTGATTATATACCTGTCATACTTATCATGAAACACCATACACATTTTGCCAAATATTTTGAAATTGCCTCCATTCAAAGAAAATCTATTCAATATGAAATTCATGGATCTAGAATTCATTTCTTTCATTAAACAACAATATAATTTAAGCCATAACTCTATAGCATGGATTATTAGAATTGCTGCTGATGAAGGATTTTTGAACACAAAACACAATTTACTTCATATTTAATAATGAAAAATGAATACCCTCCGCTTGCTAGTGTAGTTTTAGAATTTCTTCCTCCTGGCAGAGTTTCCAGGAAGGGAAGCTCAGGAAATCTGTTTTCTCTACTCTGCTTTCTAGTAACCCAAGACAGAAACAATGTAGTCATGTCTTATGCTCTTAGCCTGGGCATATTGAGCCTGAACTCTCTCCTTACTTCCTTACTTCAGCTCTATGAGATAGACTTTTGTTTGCTTCTGGTCATGTCATAATCTGGAGATAAAGATTCTGTCCTTGGAAATGAGGTTCAGCATTACAACGTAGCCTATGATTGTATTATTTGTAAGATATAGTCTTCCATATCTGTTGGACAAAAGCTGGTATTTTGATTTCTATGTGCTTGGCAACTTTGTCCATTTCATTTTGTGTAGAAATCTGGCAAGTGGTATTTGTCATTCTCCTGTCACATTGCCTACTAAAAGAGACTTTTCTCAAGTCATAAACTGAAAATCAGAGGGGTGATATACCTCTTTCATCAAAATACCAATTTATTATTTGCCTTGTATAAATATATTATAGTCTCTTTCCTTCTTTTTATCTTCCTCCTATATATATTCATCCATCAATCTATATATCTATCATTGATCCCTATATCTTTCTGTCTATTTACCTAATATTATAGTCTGTAGACTCGTGTCATATACCAAGAATTATATTATGTATATTTTTGTTAATTATATTTTATTATCAGAAGCGATATTGAATTTTGTAATTCATCTTGCTGTGAAATACTTGTACTTATCAGTTACCGCAAGAAGGGTCATCAGAGGGGAAAATAATGCTATCTTCCCAGCAACTAAAGCACAGAGTTTTAAATACAGACTTTTTGTACTCCTCCATTCGTAGGAGTTCTTGTCAACTTGCATTATAAGTGAATAATATAAAGACTTAAATAAAACCTAACAATTTTCCAGAGCATGCAGTATTAATCACACATCATAATTATGCAAAGTGATAACACACTTATTATAAAAGCATATACACACCATTAAACAAACAGTGGCAGAAACTTCTAGGAAGGAAGAAAATAAACATCAATTGGTGATGATAGGGGAGAAGAAAAAGGACCTCCAGAAATGTAAATTCTCATATTCACTGGTAAAATATTTGGGTCTAAAGATTACAAAGTTCTGGTATTTCTGTGCCTGTGCTGGCCCCTCTTGTCAATGAATTATCTGCAGGAAATCACTTGGCCTTGACAGTCCACTGGCATATAGAGCAGATTAGTAAGCATCTTGTCTTTCATTTTCAATTTTATGCTTTTAAACACTTCTTGATGCCAAAGGAGTCAAGTGAGACTGCAATCCAGAGAAGGAATTTTTAATACCACAAAATAGATTTAGATGAATAGACCATTTTAATAGTGTGATTCTGTTTCCAAAAGCTGCTTCAATTCTACCGGAAAGTATGATGGGTAAGGGATTTCTCCGGTTAACCTACATGTTGGGCTAAAAGAAGTACACTTCTTAAATAGAAGTGTACTTCTTCCCAAATCTATGGGACAAAGAAACTTTTGGCTTTCACCAGTTCTTTCTCTCTGAAATATGCTCTGTTTTCACTTCATAGCTTATATTATCTCTCACATTCACAAAATGTTGGACTGTGTATTCCTTTTGTATCCTAGTTTTTCTCTGAATACTGGTAAATTCACCTCCTAGTCCCTGCCATCAAACAAGTAAACATATTTATACATCACTGGTGTCCATCATGCCTCGTGTATATTGCTAGAGATGGATGGAAGGGTAGATGTGACTGGGAATGTTCACTCTCTCTGTGGTTCGCTGTCATTTCAAGTAATAACAGAGCTGAAGTGTATAGTCATTTCTTACTAATCCTGTTGATTTGAGTGTCAATCTGTCTCTTGGTGTGCACTCACATACTTCAATTACACCATTGTCTGACAAAGAATTTGTCCAGGGATGTATACAACATATATTCTGAGAGTTCCAGTAATTTGAGAAAGAATTCAATTACATGTCCTAAGCCATCCTATAAAACAGTAACTCCATCATGTTCAAACTTTTAGAGAACAGTGAGTGGTAAGAATGCTAAGTTGAAAACCAAGAACGTTAGGGTATAATCCCAGCTCTACCACTAACTAGGTAGAGGGTAGGAGCACGGTGATTGTCTGTTCTGAGTTTCCCTCTTCATAAAATAAGAAAGACATGCAGGTAATGCATCTACATGTGATTAGAATGAGATACAAAACAGAAGTGGATGGAGAGATTTTGGTAAATTATCGGGCCCAAGACCAGCTTAAAAGTACACCAATTAGAATGTGAGAGCACCTGGCCGTGACCTCTGTCACCCCATAGTTCTCAAGGGTTGAATCAGTGGGTAATATGGCCTACTAAGCGGGTGTCCTCTTCCTCCCTCACCACTCCATGGACATCATGCCTGTAGCTGCATGCTCTGTTGAAGAGGATGGCTTTCCCCGAACAGAGACAGACTGGTCACTGTTCATTTCAGTCAAGGGTATATAAGCAGCTGCCCTCCCTGCTAGACCTTCAAACAGACTTTCAAGAATTTGCAAATTTTACATGTATGTCTGTCATATATGTTTGTATGTATGTTATCTGAACAAATACACATTTGACTTAGAATTAGCTTGTAAGATCTTGGTTTTCAACTTGTGCTTTTAAAGCTTTTAAAGTTGTACCTATAAAGCTCATTTGATTCTACAAAAGTTCTCTATAATGATATTCAAACCAATTTAGCACTTGGAAACTCAAAACAGACATATAGAAGAAAAAAAGTAGAGGTCAGAAAGATCATTGGTGTCATTTTCTTTTGATTGAACATAACTTGTGATTTTTCCAAACTTAATAGAAAATAATGTGGACGGGAAGCATCGATATGGGATTTTCCCAGTAGCCACACATGCAGTAGGTCATTGGAGGAGTGCCACCCTACTGGTTCGTGAACCTCGTTATCCATTGCCCCTTTTCTGCATTGACATTTTACTCTTAGTCTACTTTCTGGCTCTTTATGGGGGGATCATTAAATGCCTAAGAGGCTCAGATAGCTATATTTTAGCTTCTTGTCAAATATTTACATGTCATGGGTAGGGTATTGCAAAGGAGTTGTGATTAGTTGCCAAGGAATATCAAGAACCAAATGCAATTGTTAGTATTTAAAGGTTTTTCTGTTTATTTCTGAAAATGTAGAGGATAAACACTGTCAGTTCAAAGTAAACTCCAGTGTATATAATTTTCAAAGATGGCAGTCCTCTAGTTTTGCATTGTTCAAAACACATGGCATAATGCTAAGATTTTCGATCTGTTCTTTGGGATTAATGGTGCCATGTGTGAAGAATCAAGCAACTGCCTTGCCCTCTGGCCACACTAAAGTGAAATAGAAACTTCCATTAAAGAGTTTAAAATCTAATGGAGATTTGCAAGTGAAGAAAATAAAACTAAACAGAGAAAAATGCCATTATAGTTGTGAAGCGAGCAAATTCTGAGGTTCATATATTTGCAGTAAATAGGAAAAGAGAGCAACCTGAATCTGAGAGAGGGGAGTATGGCATGGGGAACTCAAGCTACTGTTCTGCAGGGCACTGTTTTGAGTGGTGTTCGGAGATTTTGATTGGAAGCAACCATTTGTCTCAGTCACTTGAGAATGGTTTACTAACATTGTCCTCCCTGCCAAATAAGTTTCCCTTTCCCACTGATGTGACTAGGAAGCTAGCTCCATCAAATGATGATTCCCAATGGGTGACAAATACCACTTGCTCTTTTTATTTGTTAATAAACTTCCCTCCTTGTCCAATACAAAGGTAGGAGTACAGAAGTCCTTCCTATTCTTCAAATGTGTGGTCTTTATAAGAGATGATGGGGTTAGTGTTCTCCCTGTATTATCTTATTAATCCCCTTTCTACTCTCTCCTCTTCATTCCTCTATTTTCCTATCCATCCCCCTTTTTCTTTATCATCGCTTAGACACTCTGTATTATCCAGGAAGAGGAGTATTTTTAAGGTCTTCAATAAATACAATTATAAGCACTGTCCTTTCTATCAAAAACTACACTATGAGTGGGACCTGGAACATAAAATAAAGCAAAACAATATAAATAATAGAAAATAAGAACAATAGAAATGAAAGATTTATGCTGGCTTTAATGGCAATTTAGGAGGAAGTTTTGTATAATCCAGTAGACAAAACCCTGGACTAAGAGTTAACAGATCTGGAGACTGGTACCTGCTCTAAAAGTAATTAACTATAACACTGAGAAATTGATTTTTCTTACCCTAAAGGTGAAAGAAAGAAAGCAATACAAAAGGTGGCAAGGGCTGTGAGATAAATGCCAGTTATTTATTTATTTATTTTCATTTTTTAAATTTATTTTAATTTATTATTTTTATTATATATTTTTACATCATTGTTAATTTTTCCAATTTTTTAAATAAATTTTATTTTATATTCCCCATACAATTGCAACCCCCTTATTTTGACCCCAATCCCTCTCCTCTCTGCCCCCCACTGGTGTAAGATGGTATAGTTTGAAGTCTGGGCATGTGATGCCTCCATTCCCTTCTTTTTTTTCAGGAGAGCTTTGACTGCTCCCCGGCCACCTGAGGAGGGTCCCACATGGCGCGCAGACCTCTCCTGCTGCCTGCTGCTCCCCTCAGCAGTGTACTTCGGTCCTTGGTCCTTCTGCCTGCTCTGCTCCCTGCTCTGGCTCTGGTGAATTCTCTCACCCTCCCGCACTTTTGACTGTACCCAGTGCTTGTATAAAAAAAAAAAAAAAAGAACACACTCATGTCAAAAAAACAGAAATATCTTAAAGCAACTAACTCTGTAAGTATAATGAATTGTTCTCAGTAACTTTGACTAGAAAATTAAAGAACTGGGGCCTCCCTGGTGGCACAAGGGGTTAAGACGCAACCTATGAAGCTGTCTGCAACCACTGCAGTGTGAGTTTGATCCCCAGCTGGCCAGGAAGCAACCCACATGGCATAGCAGACCTCTCCTGACTCGCCTCTGCTCCCCTCAGCAGTGTATTTCAGTCAATCTGCCTGTTCTGTTCCCCACGCTGTCTCTGGTGAATGCTCTCACACACCCCCAACAGCTCTGGCCTGTATCACAGTTCTTACCTGCATAAATAAATAAATCTTTAAAAAAAAAAAAAAAAAAGAGGGCCTCCCTGGTGGCGCAGGTGGTTGAGCGCTGCACTGTGAAGCTGTCCGCAGCCTCTGCAGCGCGGGTTCGATTCCGGCCGGCCAGCTAGCCAGCAAGAAACCCTCATGGTTAAGCAGACCTCTCCTGTCTCAGCCACTGCTCCCCTCAGCAGTGTATTTCAGTCAGTCTGTCTGTTCTGTTGCCCACTCTGGCTCTGGTAAATCTCACCCTCCTGCGCATCTGGCCTTTACCCCGGTTCTTTTATAAAAATAAATACATCTTTATATATATATATATATATATTTATATATATATATATATATATATAAAGGCTCATCAAAAACAAAGAAAATTAAAAAAAGAAAATTAAAGAACTAAAATGATATGTATTGGAAAATCAGATTTTATTGAGCTGTCAGGCCATCATGCTCTAACAGTCACTGCTTTGTTTGCTATGGGACATGAACAGAAAGTCTTCCATGCTTTTATTTTTTCTTAGAAAAACAATGAACAGTGACCTTTCATAAACTAGGAAAAATGTTAAAGACAGGGTTAATCTAGGAGATACAATAAAATGATATACTGGAAAAATTTCCTGTCACATGCCTCTTTTCATAAGTAGTGTATCATTTCAGTGTACAGAGTGGAGAAAGCAGTTATTATCATGGATGTGTACAATCACATACTTTGCTTTGTAGTTTGATAAAAACTTTGAATTTTGGTGTATGAAAATATGCAGGTGACATAAGCCTGAGGAAGAAACTTTCTGTTTGTTCATCACTAAGTATCTTGCTACAGAAAAAGAATATTTCATTTACAATAAGGCTATTTTCTTTGCTGTCACAATAATTCCAAAAAAGTGCATTGGGATTAGGACTCATGCACCATTGATGTACTTGACAATGAAGTGCCAGTATACTCAATAAAAGAGTTTATATCTGAATCCCTACATCATTCTATTTGTAGAGATCAGCTGGCATTCAACAATATACCTAAAACTCTTGATTCTGTCTTGAATAGATTTTTGAAAACTGAGACTATTGTTATTATACACAATGATACAATCATGCACAATTACAAATTCTTCTTGGAAAGGGAAAAAATTTTACTTTCTTCCTTAAGTACACTCTTTTGTAGGAGCAGTTGTACATAGGGATGAGACAACATATGTCCTTTCAAGGCACTGAAATTGGCAGAAAACAATACCTACGTGAAATCATGAAGAAAGTTCAAATCAATATAATGACTTTCTTGAATAATATGATGCTATTATTTTCTGAATATAGTAAGCATGTTGTTAATTTGAGGATGAGCTGTCAGTAGTACTTAGTATTACTACGATATAAGACAGTCACTTGGTTATAAATCTATATATGTGTATGTATATATATATGTCAATCAAAGTTTGTCCATATACTAAAAATATTATATGGGCCATTCAGTTTTACAAAAGCTCAGAAAAGAGGCATGTGCACATTAATTGCATATTTGTGGTGATTTTTTTTTTATCACTGTGTTGTGTTCTAGCACAAACCATGCAAATGAAAATTTTATGTTGCTTGATTTAGTATTTATTATTATACTGAGTAGTTTTAATGAAAACCTGCTTCACCCAGTGTCTATTCTCTTATTATTTTCTCCATTTTCATTACCACCTCATTGGCCTCATTAATGTTTTTTGGAACTGCCATTTCTAAGACTTTACTTACTAGCTATATTCCTCTGATGGGAATTCTCTTATCAGGATGTGTACTTAGACCTTGCTTATACTTCTCAACTTCTCAGTGAGGACAGGTTTGAGACTCCCACATCTGCATTTTTCATGTAGTGCTCATTATCCCTCTCATGTTGTTCTTCTATTTTACAGTGCTTATCTCTTCCTAATGAACTAAATAATTTACTTATTGGTTTATGTATCATTTATAATCTGTATTTCCCTTTCAAGATGTAAGTTCCTCAAGGATAAGGAATTTTGTCTGCTATATCTTATGACCCAGTATATTCAAGTCTCAAGAATATTTCTAAGCAAATAAAGGATGTTTGACAAATACTTTATTAACTTAGTTAGGTACCAAAGAGTTATCTGTGAGTTAGAGATGTCTTATTGAATAGAAATACAGAGTGATAAAAGAAACAGACTGTTTGTGGACTCTGACAAAAAACTTACACTGTTAACAGTGCAGATATAGATGCTTTAGTGAAAAACTGAAGATGAAATAATCCTATTCCTGATACTTCATAATTAATATATTTGTAATAAGACTATGGTATGACATTATGCTTTATTTTGATAAGTTCATTCATGATGAACTCCTTTTAAGTTGGATGAAGTTGGCAGTATTTTTTTGCCGACATCCATTAAATGGTTTTTGTATGCTAACTTTTTCAGAAACCATAACATATTGTGTATTTTTTTTAAAGCCCTAAGAACTGATGTTAGAGACTAATATTTAGACCAGGTTGTGGACAGAAATACTATCAAATAATTGGTAAGAATTGTGAGAACCAGCATCAGAGATTATATCTGGAGATGGCTGATATGAGAAAAGCATTAAAGTTATTCCCCAAATTTTTTCTAGCTATTTCCCTAGCTTGACTGAATATCAAAATATTCTGTAAAATTTTCTGCAGCTATGTAATCCTTTACACGTCTTTCTCTTTCATCATATTTGTATAAAAAGTTTATCCAAAGATAACATTAATAGACCTAATGGAGAAAATGGAAAATAATATCAAAATAATATACACATTAATAGATGAAAAATAAGTACCTAAACCAAACTATAGATACAGATACAGATATAGATAAAAATCACCTCATTCTTACTGAATTCACAGTCTGGTAATATTAGGAACAAACTAAACAGATCTATTGAGAAAAAAAATGAGGTTGACTTAACCCTCAATCTATTCAGATTAATCTATTAACTTGGATTCATTCATTAGATAACTGTTGTCTGATAAATGCAACCACTGTAAAGCACTGCCATTCAGGGTAGATAAAGGGAAGGGAGATAAAGGAAGAGGAGATAAACATAGTTGTGGGGTCATAAGAAGTACTGTGGAAGAAAGAACTAGGAAATAAAGGAGATAATCATAGAGAGTGCCCTGAAAGTAAAAGATGTAAAAGACTTAAAATATAGCACAACTCAAACCTCTGTTTGAAGGCAACTAGGCCTAACTGAATGTCTAGGGTTAAGGCCCCCAGATAAAAGCCTAGCTATGAACTTAGCTGTGACTATCCTGAGATTGATGGTACAGTTAAAATACAAACAAGATGGACTGGTTTGCATTCCCTGACTTGCAGATTTACTCTGTGTCATTAATATTCTTCCTTAAATAGAGCAGATCCTCAAATAACATTATTTCATTCAACATCATTTTGTTGTCCAACTTTGATGAGAAAACAAGAATCCAGGAAACTTAATGAAGTGATACTATTAAGAACCTGCTTTCCTTAAATATCCATTTGCTTATAGTTCCAATTTCCAAGAATTTATTAATGATGTTAAGTGAGGATGCAGTTCAGGTTTTCATAATAGACAAACAATTCTGAATAGACAAGATTAACATGCATGGTATATTGATATGATTTTCTCCAATGCTGTACTGATTTTTTTTTAGTAAAAATTTCTATAAATTCTAAAACTGATTGCTAAGTGGGATATCAGAATGAAAAAAAAAAAACTTGAAAATTTGAATTCTCTGTGTATTCATGCATGATTTTGTGTACGTGTCTAGTTGATTTTGGCATATTTCTTATTCCCTCTATAATATATAGAATAGTAGTTAAAAGAGTCACTTCTTAGATTCAAATTATAGTACCATTATTTACCATTATTTACAAAACTGCATTATTTTGGGTACATTTCTTAATCTCTCTCTGTCTCAATAAACTTGATAACATGATTTAATGTTCATTATGGCAATAGACCATGGGCTCTACTACTATAAATGGTCAATACTTCCTTAGTATTGTAGTGTTTGTTTCAAAGAAAAACTAGAAATAAGTTATGGAATGATGTTGAGAAACCATTCAACATTACTTGAAACCAGGGAAATGCAAATCAAAACTACAAGGAGATACCATCTTACATCAGTGAGAATGGCACATATTAAAAAAAACTAGCAACACAAAGATTGGCAAGAATGTGGAGCAAAAGGAACTCTCCTGCACTGCTGGTGGGAGTGCATACTGGTCCAACCACTATGGAGAGATGTGTGGAGATTCCTCAATCTGCATGATCCAGCAATTCCATTCCTAGGTATTCACTCAAAGGACACAGAATCATTAATTCTAAAGGGCACCTGTACCCCTATGTTTACAGCGGCACTATTTACAATAGCTAAGCTATGGAAACAACACAAATTCCCAAAATAGATAACAGGATCAAGAAGATGTGGTACATATACATAATGGAATATTACTCAGCAATCAAAAAAGATAAACTCATGCGATTTGCAGCAACATGGATGGAGCTGGAAGGGATCATGCCCAGTGAAATAAGCCAGAAGGAAAAAGAAAAATACCGGATGGTTTCACTCATAGCAGGAATTTAGAAAACCTAAATAAGGGACCAGGAGAAAGACTATAATAAAGTAAAAATCAAAATCAACAAGCAACTATAAACCAGAGACACATTCAGAGGGAGAGGGGAGAGAAAGGAGTAGGATAAAAACAAGGGTGGTGGGAATTGTATGGGGACTATAACCAAGATGAAATGCATATACATTGTGCAAAAATGAAAAATGATGTAAAAAATATACAACATTGAAAAAAATTTTTAAAAAAGTAGGAAAAAATAGATGGCATTTTCTTCCCGTTTCTTCTTTTAAAACTCACCCAAAACTACAAGAGTAAAAAAGAGAAATAAAAGCTTGAATTTGTCTAATCTAGAAGACATCTTCATCGTTAACTCACAGTATCTCATGACAGGAGGTAAATAGCAAAGAACAGAGTGGAGAACTTTAAATCTATAACCTGTTAAAAGAGGTCCTCATAGGGCCTCCCCTGGTGGTTAAGCGGTTGGGCACTGGTCTGCAGAGATGCCTGCAGCCTCTGCAGCCCCGGTTTGATCCCCGGGCCATGGGCAAGGGTCCCAGATGGCGCGCAGACCTCTCCTGCTGCCCGCTGCTCCCCTCAGCAGTGTATTTCGTCAGTCTGCCTGTTCTGCTCCCCACTCTGACTCTGGTGAATTCTCTCACCCTCCCGCGCTTCTGACTGTACCCAGTGCTTGTATAAATAAATAAATAAATAAATAAATCTTAAAAAAAAGAGGTCCTCATAATAAAGTTTTCAGCTTATAGTTTCCTATGAATTGATGAGGTGTGGGGTGTCAGGGAATTAATCTGCACCTGAAAAGGGAGAAGAATTGAACTCAGGGTAAGCGTCAGTTAGACTAGATTTCTCCATATGAATTATCCTAGCAGCAATATTGAAAATCAACTGAGCATCTGTTATAGAACTTATTCTGTATCATTGCTCTATATATTTATCATATGTCAAACCACACTTTCTCAATTATTGTAACTTTGTAATATATCTTGAAAAATAGATAAATTCTTCAATTTTGATTGCTTTTATCAAAATATGTGCCTGTATTAATTCCTTTGTCTTTGTCAATTTCTACCAAAAAAAAAGGGGGGGGGGATTGTTAAGTGATTATGCTGAATGTATGGAAAGATTGTATCTCTGGGTCGTGAAATCTGTAGATAATTTGAATCTTAACAGTGGTGAAAATGGTAGTAGGATTCTTCTGATACATAAATCTGATATTTCTATTTATGTTTTATTTAATTTCTCTTAGCAACTTTATGTAATCTTCAGAGAAAAGGTTGCATATATTTTGTTAACTTTGTCCCTAAGTATTAAATATTATTATGCCATTGAAAATGCTAGTTTTATTTCAATTTTGCATTTGTTATTAGTATATGGAAATTTAATGCATTTTTAAATGAAACTTGTACCCTACATTTTTTCTAATGTCACATTAATTTTCAGCTATTTTCTACATTCGTAGGCTCTTCACATTTTATTGCATTGACTGGCAGTTCTGGTACAATGTTAAATTTAAAAAGCAAGATTAATCATCTTTTATTTCTGATTTTCAAAGAAGAGTATTCAGTTTTTTAATTACTAGCTATAGGGTCCTCATAAATTCTTTGTCTAGATGAAGACATATCCTGCTATTTTTGGTTTATTGCAAGTTGTTATGATTGGGTGCTAAATTTTGTCAAATGCCTTTTCTGCACCTATTGAAATAATCATACACTTTTATTCTTATTTGTTAATAAGATAAAGTAATTCATTGGTTTTTGAATTCTAAAATTACCTTGTATCCCTGAAAAAAATTGACACATTTCAAATTTTACACTATTTGTTCTTGGGTCACATTGCATTTCGTAAAATAGTGTTCACTTGTGTTTTGCACCCAGTTATGTTCTTTCTGACACTTCTTTAAAGAGAAGCCATTAGTCCATGGCTAACTCTATACTTCAACTAAGATGTTATTCTGAAGATTTTATTAGTCTCATTTACTACAAGATTTTTACCACATTGGTTTGTGAGATCATGGCCTAGTCCTCAACCAGTGTTTCTGTACTCCAATCTAGTGGTTATTTCCTCACAGAATCCTCTCACACATCTACATATCAATACTCAGCCAAAGCCACCAGAGGACCCTTCTGTAAAATATGATGATTTGAGAAATAAGAATTAGACAAAAAGGTGTCTCACATTTGGAAAGGGAATACTTAAAATTCACTTTGATGCTAATTTAAAAATATATTTAACATTCCCATTAGTTACTGGTAATCATGAAAAGACTGTACCATATAAAAACTAAGAATCAACTAGCATTTGAAATCATTATCAGTAATGTGCTATTGCACCATCAGAAACCTAGGGAAATATTTACTTGTATCCTAATAAGCATTCAGATTTGATTTTTATATTAGTCAAATATTTTGCTATAGTATCTTGAAATGGTTGTGCTAAAACTACTTATTTGTGTATGAAAAATCATTTTTCTGATTATCTATTTTTTAAAGATTTATTTTTTCAAATACAACAACTGGCATACAGGCCAGATGTGTGGGAGGGTGAGAGGATTCACCAGAGACAGAGTAGGAACAGAACAGGCAGACTGACTGAAATATACCGCTAAGGGAAGCAGAGGGTGAGACAGGAAAGGTCCACTGCGCCATGTGGGTATCTCCCCTGCCAGGATCAAACCCATGCTGCAGAGACTGTGGACAGCCTCACAGTACTGCTTTCAACCGCCTGTGCCACCAGGGAGGCCCTTTTCTGATTATATTTAATGAAAATAAATTTTCTTCTTTTCCAGGAGACATAAACTAAATGTGAGGTAAGGAATTTCTGAACATATGTAAATAACTCTAATAATGCTATCTGATATTCATTAAGCTCACACTATGTTCTAGGATCTTTACACACATTATTGTGTTGTGATCTAAAAAAACTGGAGTTGAAGCAGAATAATTGTTTTAATTCCTTAGCTCTGTCAATTTCTGTCATGGGAAAATTCACACAAGTTTTCCAAGTCTCCATTTACTGATCTATAAAGTGAGGGGAATGACACACACAGAGAAACTGACCAGAAATAAGTTGTAGAAACCTTGCTAAAATCCTATGATACAATATCATTTTTGAGGACATGCCTATATTGACTATTTTTTTGATATTCACATATACACAAAAATATTTTTATTTATTCATGACATATACTCCATAGCTCATTTCATTACATGGTATGTACTTGCAATATGTACAAATTTGTAAATATATTTGTGTATATATGTATGGGTACATATGTATGCACACACATAATTTCTTAGTATATGCTTTGAACTGGCGTTTAAGAATAGTAACAGACTTATGGTCCACTGAAGCACTGAATACCCAGGGATATCACCTGCACATACTCATACCCTGTCTGGGATCCCAGCCTAGCCCATACCAATACTGTTCTGGTCAGAAAGGATTCTGAACCTCAAACTAGAGAATGTTCTCCTCTTCTTTCCTATTGGGTATAGTCCTTCCTTAATTTCAACACATTAAAAAAATGTTTTATAGTTGAGGGCAGTGGAAAGAGATTGGCATAAAAATATTTTGATCAAAAAAAGATAACAATATTAAGGACCAGTTGTGGCAGTAATTTTCTTAAAAGTAACTTGAGGGCCTCCCCTGGTGGCACAGCAGTTGAGTGCTGGACTGCGAGGCTGCCCGCAGCCTCTGCAGTGCTGGTTCGTTCCCTAGCAGCCAGCGAGGGTCCCACAAAAAAAAAAAAAAAGGAACTTGAAAGCATTTACCATGTCCTAAATTTGCACTCTTTGCAGGCTTGTGTGTATATACTCTGCTTTCACAATAGTTTTGCACGTTAAAAACAGACAAATAAATTAAAAGCTTTTTAATAAAGAAATTTCATTCATAAATGACATGCATTGCAGTATATTAAATCTACAGCTACCAACAAGCAACTATAAACTAGAGACATACTGGGGGTGCAGTGGGGAGAGGAAGGATTAGGGTCAAAATAAGGGGAGGTACAATCATATGGGGAATATAACCAAAATGAAAATGCATACATTGTGCAAAAATGAAAAATGATGTAAGAATTATATAAAATAAAATATTAAAAAAATTCTACAACTACCGTCAATACTGTGTTGTACAACAGCTACTTTTTTATTTAGTGGCTAATAAAGGGCTACACAACTCAAAAATAGAAAAAAAGAATAGAAACAATGGCCGAGTCTCTTTAAGACTGACCTATATGTAAGCACCTCTTTTCACACAGGGACATTCCTACGTACTATATTATCTGCAACTGTAGCAGAACTTATTAATTCAATAAATGGGAGAGTAGCTCTCACTAGAATGTGATGCAGGCATAATTGTCCTTTTTGCACTTATCAGTTTCCTCTTGTTCCAATCTTCAAAACTCATACTAAAAAAACTGCTTATCAGAATTAAAAGAATTCAGTTTCTCAAACAATTCTTGAGTGCCAGCTGTAGAGTGACAGAGTCTCTTGTGTTGCTCAAAAAAATTACCTTAAATTCCAAGATCAACCCCCATGAGTTTAATTTTATCAAAGAATGGATGTCTTGTCAAATATAGTTCCAACCAACATAATCAGTAGCTTTCAAAGTATGTTTGACATAGAGAAGGACTGAAAAACAAGATAGGAGTCAGAGAAACAGACATCGATGGCCTGTCAAATTTTTTGTAGACATCATGCTATTATCAAGGCACATCAGGATAAAATAAAATGACCTAGCTGACCACAGGCTTACAAATGTCTTGGGAAGGAAAGAAAAACGGTGAATCAAAAGGTAGCTTTGTTGCACGTCCCCCCAGGCCTTCTTATTGACAGGAATGACAATGGTCCCAAGATGCACCATTATCTATGACCAGCAAGCAGACATCAAATGCTCCTGAGCTGTATCTGTCAGAATGGAAAACTCTGCTCAAAACAGACAGGGCTTGTTACATTTTGTTCAGCTAAGGTTTGTCAAAAGCCAGGGTCACTTGTGTGTGCCCTGCCCTGAAGGGGAATTGTAAAGCAAAGGAAGTACATGATTCCTGAATGTTTCTTCTGCAAGGAGACTCTGAGTCTGCTTGACCAAAATGTTTTGAAAGTCAAGTCATGACTCAAAGGAAGTGGAAAACAAAGTTAATAGTCTGTCATTTAACTTCTTAAGAATGAGGATCACATGCTAAGGAGGCAGAATTTAAAATGCTTCTTACATTTAAAGAATTTTTGTGCTAAGTGTGATTTGTTATTTCAAACTCAAAAGGGAAAATACTACTGAAATTAGAGAGAACAAGTTAATGTGTTCTGGGCAAGCATTTTATACCAGGGCATTATGGAGCTTATTACAGTCTGAAATATTTACACTCGTAAGAGATTCTTCTAATTTACTTAATTTACTTCTCCTTGACTAAAGAGAGATTTTATATACAAATGTCCAGGCTCTGACACTTAAGTAAACTCACTAACTTGGGGAAACATCTGTTAACCACTCACAAGAAAATACAAGTTGATCGTATTCTTTAATTGACTCCTTAAAAAAATTAACACAAACTTTTTCTCTCTTTTTATAAATCCAAGGGTAAGAATGCAGCCACCATAGAGAGTGCTTGTGAACAAAGGCATTGTCTCCCCCTCCTCTTCCCTTATTCTTTTCTTTCCTCCCCAAATCATTCTTTCTCCTCACTCTTCTCCTCATTTTATTGTTTTACTTGTCAATTTATAATTTAGCATTTCTTAGGTCGAGAAACAAGGTCAGTTATGCTCAAACATGTTGTAAGTGGTCTTATTTAAAAAGTTCTGAGATGTAATAACTCCTGTAACTATGCAAATATTAAAAATAGCATTTATATGCTGATGGTCATAATTATTTTGTATCGCCAATATATTTCTCAGAAGTCTAACTTATTTTCCATATTTAAAAATTGGGCTATTTCTCACACTAACTTTAATTTTCATTTTCCTAAATAAAGGGGACATGAGTAACTTGTGGTGCTGAACTTGAATTTCTGCATAGTGACATTCTTCTACAACAAAAGGGTGAGTGGCTCCGTGACTTATGATCATCACTTAAGATCTACAGTGCATTACGGTTAGCATTAGTTTGACTTTTCTCACTTATCCATTACAGGTTTGAGTTGCAATTTCTGCTCAAATAAAACAAATAAATCAAATTGATAATTTTTTCCCATATTCTACATGACTATACAATCCTAAATAGAAAATGACATGTCAAAAATATAACTATAAATATCAATTCTCTCTCCATTTTGGGGGCACAAGAGAAAATTCCCTCACTCTTTATGGGTTCTCTTGACTCTAGATGAACAAACAAGTTAACATCAGACCAATTAGTAGGAGAAAAAGGCAAAATTTAATAGCATAGATATGACGAATGTACATGGTTATAAATTCTAAAGTAAAATGGGTGAACCAGGGCTATATATCCTGTAGTGAGAACCCTGGGGTAGTAAGGAGAGAGGAGGAGGACATATCACATAACCAAAGAGAATGACTTTATCTTTTCATTTTGAGAGTTTTGCAAATGGAGAGGACATGTTCACTAATTAACTTAAATGTGAATGATAACCCCTTCCAGACTATGTTACTCTGTCTTTAAAAGGGAGCAGTGATTGTTTCCTTGGTTAGGAAAAGGGTAAAAGATGGAAATATGGGTAAGAACTCCATTCAGCCCTCTAGGGCCTTTAGTTGATATTAATTTAGAATAATTTGTATTATTTAAGTAATATTAACATATTTACCAAGACTCACAGGCCCTGGATTGACTTGAGTTCCCCACACCCAGGTGATACCTATTAGAAGAGGCCTACTTTAGACACATTGAGAAAAGTCTACATGACCATATTGGGGAGACCAATCCTGTGCCACCACTAGATGATTAACTTTACCAGGAGTGGCCCAAAAGAAAGAAGGGAGGGAGGAAGGGAAATAGCTTATATAGGGAAAATGTACATTCGTTTTTTTTCCATTTGCAGTAATACAAGTCTTGCTGCAGGTACTTTAATAAATAATTACTCTTATTAATCTGAAACAAATAAAATTGCAAGGATAGAAAAATAGCTTGAGGGTGGAAGATGGGTTATATGAAAGACCATTTGCTCACTGTTCTATGCATGTGATAGTTCCTGCAACTACTTCTCTGTCTACACTATCAGCTTTGTCTAGAACCAGGAAATGGTGATCTTCATGAGCTGAAAACAATCAGAAATAATTTGGACAAAAGGATTTTACTTTTGACTTTTTGGAAAAGAAAACAAATGCAGAAAAAATCACTGTAAACCACTCTAACTGGGTTTAATTTTGCTTAATATATGAAGTCATTTGCCTCTCATTCTTACTCTTTGGTTTGAATTTTACCCTTTGAGTATCTTGTAGAAATTCAATGACTATAAACATCGTTCCAAAGGAAGATAACTTACTTAAAGCATAAATTAAAAGATTTTCCTCAGTTTCAGAGTTAAACTGCAGGAACATTAATCTTCCTGTGGAGTATAAATACTAATGAACATTTTCATTCTGTAAATCATTCTCTGTTTTTGGTTCTACTAAAATAGAAGGTATGCTAAAGCTCTGATTGCAAACATTCCATGATCCTTTTAGTGAATTTGGGAAAAAAAAAAGGATCAAAAAATTATTGACTCTTGGGACACTGTGTTTCTGATATCTGATATAAAGAAAACAAATTTGATCACATAAGACTTGACTAAAAATGGGTATTATGGGTTCTTGTCTTTATAATGACAAGAACATTTATTCTATAAATATTTATTAAGTACTTACATACCACAAAATATTTTGGAACTGTGTTTCACAGGAAAATTGCATTAGCCTGGGTTCCCTCCCGAAAGTGAACCTGAGACAAAGGCTTGAGTGCAGGCAGCTTGTTTTAGAAAGATATCCCCAGGAAAGAGAAAAAGTGAAGAAAATTGTGTTACAAGCAAGCTACCATCATGGACAATGTGGTTAGATCATGCTGGGGGTTTTTGGAGGTGTTGTGCTGCCTATGAGCGAGAAAATTCATGGAATGGAAGCAGGAACACTTATTTACCAGCAAGCATCCTTTAGTGGTCAGTTGGGTGCCTTCTCAGATGCTAACTCTCTCATAATCCTAGGATTTTCCACAGACGAAAAGGGGTCTTTTCGTCACACCACTTACTTGAAGCCCAGGGCAAGAAGATTTTACCAGTGAGACTGAAGAAATGCTGTCAGTAAAACACGTGCCAAGAAGCTATTGGTTATGTATGCATATTACAAGAAACAAGGGAATGTATCATATTCTTAATAATAGATTTATTTATTCAAGATGCTGACTGAGTACTTATTATATGGCATGCACTGTTTCAGGCCTAGAGAAACAGCAGTGAACAAAACAGACTACAATTTCTACTTTTATGGAGTTCAAAATAGTGCAAGATAGGGGGTAAAAGAGAAAACTATAATTTACCAGGTGATAGTAAACAGGGGTAGGGAACACTGCAGCTATAGGAAGAACATCATTGGGCCTCCCTGGTGGCACAAGAGGTTAAGACACAACCTATGAAGCTATCCTCAGGCACTGCAGCAGGAGTTCAATCCTCAGCCAGGGAGATACCCAAATGGCGCAACAGACCTCTCCTGACTTGCCCGCTGCTCCCCTCAGCATTGTACTTTGGTCAATCTGCCTGTTCTGTTTCCCACTCTGTCTCTGGTGAATCTTCTCACCCTCCACACCTCTAGCCTGTACCCCAGTTCTTGTATACATAAATAAATAAATCTTTAAAGAAAAAAAAGAACATCATTCCTGACATAATAAACTCAAAAGTTGTAATGTGACAGATCTTTGTCATGCTTGAGGAACAAAGAATAGAGGAGAGAGGATTACGTTGGGCCATTTTTCAAGACCAATGAATGCAGAAGCTACCAAAGGGGTTAGAGCAATGTTGTTCATGGACCTTCTTTTGTTATAGCTAATCTTTCTTCACCCTTCAGATTGAAATTCAATTGTCAGTCCCCCAAAAGGCCCCAAGAGCCCTGACCAGGTCAGCTCCTCCTTTCATCTGATCTTATGCAACACACACCAATTTTTGTAGCTCTAAATTCAGGTACAAATTTGCATTTATTTTTAGAATAATTTTATTACTTTCTTTCCACTGTGGTCAGTGGAAAGAAAGCTCCTTGGTATCAGACATTCATAGCACATTTTACTCATCCTCATATTCTATGCCCAGTGCTAGGCACATAATAGATATACAGAAGTATTTACTTAACCAATGAAAGGTTGGACTGAGGGAATGGAAGAGAGAAGTAATAAATAGGTGAGAATTTAGAAATAAAAAATATATGACTAAAGGGACATTTCTTAATGCTATTTTAAGATTAACTCATATTTAAGAAATAATTCTTCCACATTACTTATTGATATGTTTCCCATGGTTAGCATTTGATAGAATGAAAAAAAGTCATGTTCTTTGATTTTAAAATAAATGAATAGACATCCAATTTCCTACAATGAATGAAGAAATTGTGGAAATGTCATGTTTCCTGTACCTGAATTTTCTCCTTTTGTATCTTTTTCTCACCCTATTGCCTTTTTGCCATTCTTACCTTATTCATATTTCAAGACATAACTAAAACCCATCTCTTTCATGATGCTTATTATAATATTCAATCAATATTGATTAATAGATTGCTATACTCAAACCCCTAGGTCTGGTTAATGTGTGTTTAATTATCTTTTCTTCCTGATTTCACAGGTAAAATATTCACAACAGTAATGAATCTATACAACTACCAGCAGGAAGCTAACTGGATGATTGATTATCAACACATGGAGTCATTTTTCCACTAGCAACAAATATTTTTCTTAGTGGCAGAATAACTGGATTTCAAATATGATAATAACTATGTACCTTACATGCACTATGTAAAGACAAAATTTATCATTAAAGTGACTACCTCACTATTTTCATATTGTGTACATCTTGTTCATGTTCCTTTGACTTTCTTTTTTTTTTCAAAATTCTATGCAAGAATCAAAATCTGAAATCTTAAGTTCAAATTTAAACACTGGTCTCTATCATGAAATCTACAAAAAGAAAAAAAAAGCAGTTTGATTAAATTTACTAAATTGCCTAAATCAGAGAATTGTTATGAATGGTATGTACACCTCTTCAAAGATGTCTTATAAATATTAATAGAATCTAAGAGACTAATCTTACATCATATTTTACCTACTCTCCCTCCTGCTGCTTTTTGTGTGTGTGTCATTTTTCTCTGCCAGGTATCTAAAAGTAGCATTGAACAATACTTGTCTCCCTTTCTCATTAGTCAACAAGCATGGATATTTTATTAAAAGAATACATAAAAGGGTCTATTTAAAAGGTAAATAAGATATGACAAATCGGTAACAGAACAGAACATTTTTTTGTTGTTAAGTATTTCTTTTATCTCTATGCCCCTAGAACTGGAATTGGATATAAAGTTTCACATTTATAGCTCAAAGTTATTCGGCTATTTTTATTCTTGCTGTTTCTGACAGAAATATTTTTAATATAAGGAAACATATCCAATTAAAAATATAAATAACAAAAAAAAATTGGCCTTTGCAGGAATAAAAGGAGTTCAAATTAATCGAAAGTCCTACGAAAGAACCACAGGCTATATAATAGATTGAAAATAAACATATACAGGGAACTTGTGTCTGTGAGTGTGTGTTTGAGAGCACATGTGTATTCTAGGTAGAAATGCAAGTGGCCTATGGACAATTTTTGAGTACAATAGCATAGTAAAACTTAAGAAATTTTCAGTCTGATAGAGTGAAATTCATTTTTATGAGAAAAATCATAATATAGATTGAGATATTTGCATTCTTCCTGTTTTTCTTATCTATAAATTGAGGACAAAATCTGTCATTGTAACTTGGATAATTGCTGAGGATGCAGTTAAAAAAAATCACATGTGAAAACACTTTGTAAATAAATAGTAGATTTTCAGCACAGTAGTAGGATGATGTGTTAACAGCAGGACTTAAGTACTAAAAATAATGTTAATAATAGCAATAATAGTATAACTAGCATTTATTGAAAGTTAGAGTCATCTACCTGCTAAGCACTTGACATGTATTACCTGATTTAATCTTCACAACAACCCTAAAGTGTAACTAACTGTTAACTTTATGGCTCTAGAGAAGGAAACAGTGGCTAAAGGAATTAAATTCTTTATGGAAGTTAAAAGTTGAGGGCCTCCCCTGGTGGCGCAGCGGTTGTGCTCTGGGCTGTGAAGTTGCCCACAGCCTCTGCAGTGCCGGTTCGTTCCCCAGCCGCCGGCGAGGGGCCCACCAAAAAAAAAAAAAAAAAAAAAAAAAAAATTGACCCATCACCCACTGACCTGTAAGCCTAAACTAACTTTAGACTTAATGCTCCTTAATCACTTTGTTTTTTTTTATCTCTGCTAGGACCTCCCAGAGCTTCAATTTCACTGTGTACATCTTACTCTCTAGCACTTTCCATACTGTATTGTAATTATTTGTGTACCTATCTTTCTTCCCCCCTACACTGTGAACACATTAAAAGCAGGGCTGGAACCTCACTCATCTTTATATTCCCAAAACATAGCTTTATGCCAAGCTCTTAGGAAAGAACAGTAAATATTGGCTTAATAATTGGTTGAACACATTTCCATTTATTCTTTTAATCAAAACCACATCATCTGTAAGTAATAATGATTACCAAAATGTGCTGGGTAACTCAAATATGCATCACAGTCCTTATAAACATTGGTTGTCAAAAGAAAAAAAATTAAACACGTTTCCTCCTACTCTCAAAATAAATTACTACTTTAAAAAGTCTCAATATTTTTAACTGCTTTTGATTTGTATTATTTAATTTATTCAAGAAATTAATGGATATATTTGTGACTTAATGATTCATTACATTACATTTTTTTAAAGCCTTATGTAGTGCTTCCAATATATAAGACATTGCTCTCAGTGTTTTATTAGCTTAAACTTCATAACAATCCTATGAGGAATGCCCCATCATTATCCATTTTACAGTAGAACAGTTCAGCAATGCTCAAGGTCACATCACTTAGAGTGGAGATTCTAGCATCTAAATACCTGCAATTTGGGTTCAGAACTCTATTCCTTACCATCATACTATCACCTCTGTGTCACAGGGTCTGATATAAAGGAAATGTCACCTCATCTAACTCACTGAGTTGTATGTTTCATTCTATTATTTTTGGAGAATCCTTTTCTCTGAAGATGCTCACATCTTGTGATATGACATTTTTAAAATAAGATTAATTGAGGAATAATTTACAATTAGTAAAATTTACCCTGTCTCAGTTGTTCATTTCACAATGGTATATTGTGTAATGTTAAAAAAAATCATCCTAATAAATTTAGAGATCTAATTTATAAAACAGTTCATGAATCAGCAACATTCCCCCTGGCAAGAAGAAAGACTCTGTGAGGGGTTATATAAAATGGAAGGTGTTTATAGACAGAGGGTGGGATAAGAAAAGAAAGATTTCAGGGATAGCCATTTTTACTAAGGAAAGGCTGGTGGGGCGGATGCCTTAGGCAGATGACTTCACTAGTGCTGCTTTGGAAAATCCAAGTTGATTGGCTTCAAATTCCATTTCTGAGAAAGGCTGAAACTTGCTATGCGGTGAGATATGAAGTCTTGGCGGGCTGAGCATGGCTCCATTTGGGACTGTTTCTTTGTTGAATTGTAATCACCACCACAAACAAGATATGGAGCATTTTCATGACTCCAAAATGTTCCCTGATGTCCTTTGCAGATAACAATTTTGCATCACTATCATTCAGGAATATTCCTTCATAGGTTTCTTACAGTATCTTTATCTGACTTTTGTGTCAGGTAATGTCTTCACAGAATATGCTTAGTATTATTCCCTATGCTTCATATTGTTGGAATAGTTTCTAGAGGAATGATGTTGATTCTTCCTTAAATGCTCATGGAATTCTCCAGTGAAGACATCTGTTCCTTTGTTTGGAGATTTTTTATTAGCAATTTAATCTCATCACTAGTAGTGGGGTCTGTTTAGATTTTCTATTCTTTCATGATGCAGGTTTGCTATAGTTTATATTCTTAAGAAGTTATCCATTTGATCGGAGGTATCCAAATTGTTGGCATGCACCAATGCCTTTGAAGTGTAGACATTTAATCTTTTCAAAAATTAAAACAATATTCAGTGCTAATACATATGTATGTATATTTAATTTAAAATTTTAGTTACTCATTGCTTGTATATAGGCAATTAATTGACTTATGTATATTGACCTTGTATTCTGGGATGTTGCTGTTTTTTTCTTATGAGGTCAAAGGTTCATTTGTTTTACTTTGTTCTTTTTCCCTTAGGGAGTAAGTTTAGTGAAGATATTTTGCTATTTTCAAAGTAGATAATTATTTGAGTAGGATGCCGAGTAGAAGTGACATGAGTTTTATGCAACATAACAAAACAAAAATAAATGAGAGATATTCTGCAGGGGAGGGGGAGGGAGAGGGATCAAAACAAGGGTGGGAAGAGCACACGGGTCTATGGTGACGGTGCATGGGTGAATGGGTGGTGGGAAATCTATAGGGACTACACCTGAGAAAAGAAAGCAAACACTGTAAAAATATGAACAATGATGTAAAATATATATAAATAAATAATAAAAAGAGAAGTGTTAAGAGTTTTAAATTTGAGTCAAATTTTTTTCATTTTTTATTTTATTATTTATAATGTGTATACCCTAGGGTATGAACTATCTGCCTAATTAAATGACATAACTATATTTTTCTAGTATTTTTCTTGAATTGGTATAGTTTCATTCTTGCATTTGGGTTCATGAACCAGCCCAAGTCAAGTTTTCCATGGTGTGAGGTAAGAATTGAGGAATTTTTTTTCCTTAGATAATGAACACCTAATTAAAAAGGAAATTATTTTCCACTTTGACATTCTTTTTTCCAAAAGTCAACTGACCACACCTGAACAAGTTTATTTTCTTCAATATCTATTTTGCTTATTTATATGTCTACTCCTAGGTTAGACTGTCCTGACTGTCCTGATTACTACAGTTCTATAGCATAACATAGTTAAACCTGCCTTGACTTTCTGTAAAACATACACATTTTTAGAAAAGTGATTCATATGGCCCATGAATCATTTTCAGTCTTATAAGCCATATCATGAGGTTCCACAAGGAAATGCAATTCATATTTTTTAATTATTTTTTTAAATCGAGGTAACATTTACTTACATTATTGCTGGTATTTTTTTTTAAAAGATTTATTTATTTATTTATGCAAGCACTGGGTACAGTCAGAAGCACGGGAGGGTGAGAGAATTCACCAGAGCCAGAGCGGGGAACAGAACAGGCAGACTGACGAAGAAGTACACTGCTAAGGGGAGCAGCAGGCGGCAGGAGAGGTCTGCGCGCCATGTGGGACCCTCGCCTGGCGGCCAGGGATCGAACCAGCGCTGCAGAGGCTGTGGGCAGCTTCGCAACCCAGCGCTCAACCACTGCACCACCAGGGAGGGCCTATTGCTGGTATTTTTGAAGAATAGGATCATCTCCCTTCCCCCAGCTGCAGGTATTACCACCATAGTGCACCCACTGCCAAATCACCCCTAGTCTACCACCACATGCTCCCTCACCTCTTTGTTTTTGTTGGTATACATTTCATAATTTATTTGGTTTTCATTTTCACAGAAACTTCCACATATTTTTTTAAAGATTTATTAATTTACACAAGAACCGGGGTACACGCCAAATGCACAGGAGGGTGAGAGGATTCACCAGAGACAGAGCAGGTAACAGAACGGGCAGACTGACGAAATACACTGCTGAGGGGAGCAGCAGGTGAGACAGGAGAGGTCTGCTTGCCATGT